TACTCTTGTCTTTAACACTCCCCTGCTTTTATAACTGTATATTGTTTCTCCACTGGAAGGTTTGGCCTTTGTTTGTAATAGTGCTTCATTGATTTTTTTTTGTTCATTGCAGAGACGAGGGCCGCAGCGCTCAGTTGACGTCATCGTCTCCACTATCTTCCTGTTAGCGCTGTCCATTTCATTCATCATTTGTGCCCAGGTCAGTCATATCCGCTGCAAAAGATCTGATCGGCTTAGAGAGCTCAAATTTAATAACCGTGTTCAAATAGTGCGAGTCTTGCATGGAGATGAAATAACAGGAAGGCAGCCACGAAACATGTAAGAATGTAATCATATTACCCGAGTGAAGATACGCATCGAAGTTAAGATAAATCATATTTTATAAGCTCTGCTTGATAAAGAGGAATTTTAATTTTCACAATAACAAGGAGTACAGATACGGTTGCTTCTGTCCTCAGCTTTTGCACAGTCACGAAACATTCCTAGAGTCAATGACAAATTGGGAGCTGCTGGTGTGGGCCTCCTCCCTCATCCTCTTTCTGTTACGGCTCGCCACGCTGGGTTCAGAGACCAACTGCAAATACAGCAACTCCTCGGTGCTGCTCACTGAGCAGGTAAGAGTCTGTGTCTGCTAAACACGTGGAGTTGCAGGTTTCTCACTGGGTTCAGCACTATGGGCAACACCATCAGCGGATTCATAGTCAGCATCATTTAATGTAAGTTTAAATAAATTACTTTGTCTTTATTGTAGAATTGTACGTGTGTAAAACTGTTGTTGGTTACAGATCAATTTGTATCTCAAAATGGAGAAAAAGCCCAATAAGAAAGAAGAACTCAATATCGTGAACAATGTTTTGAAACTAGCTACAAAACTGATGAAGGTAAGCAAAATGTATCTCCTTTGTTTTACAGCGTCCTGTTCATTTACCAAACAGAGTATATCCTGTCAGTATAGTTCTTTATTATTGTATAATACAGGCAGAGTTTTTACTATCATATTTTTCCACAGATTCTAAGTTTGTTGATGGTTTGTTTTGGGGTTTATGAGGGTTTGCTCATACATCGTTACATGCACTTTATAGTTAATCTGTTGGACATCTACAGACAAAGCAAATGTTACAAATATAAACATAATAATAAGTAATAATAATATTTAATGACATGTATTTATAAATATAAAAATAATCTGTAGGCAGACTCTCCAAATAAAGGGCTACCCAGAAATGTAATGCTTAAAATGTATTTCTAATCAAACAAAAGCTCTTACAACTCTAAAAAGCTGGCCAAATATAGCAAGGGGAGCTTTGTTGTATTCCTCGTTTCTAATAGTCTTTCTACTGGCACAATCTAATGTGGAACAATTTAATCACTTCTACACTTCAGATTGCCCCATAACATCCTTAATAACTTAAGAGCTATTAAATACTTTGATTGCACTGCAATTCATTCTTTTATTTCTCATAAAGGCCCAACAGAACTATTCTTGCCACTGGTCTCTTTTTACATAAAAACATTCTGGCTTAGACCTTCTCTCTCTCCTCCAGGTATTTGGTATTTCAAGTTCAAATAACATTGTATTCCCTCTTACCTCCCCACAGGAGCTGGATACTCCATTCAGACTGCTGGGTCTGACCGTGAACCCTCTGATCTACAACATCACCAGAGTGGTCATCCTGTCTGCAGTGTCTGCTGTGGTCAGCGACCTGTTCGGCTTCAACATCAGAGTGAGGGGTCTTTCTGCTAAATGTTAAAGTTTACAGCTCCTTGGTTTGCTAATGGTGCAAGAAGATCGAACAAAACTTTGCTTTACTCATCACATAAAGCACTATTCAGCCTGTGAGAACAGCTTTATTATGTCCTCTGAGGCTTTAGAGTTTAACTTGGGCTTGGACAACAATATGGGGCAGGTGCATTGTGGGAAATGTAGGATCCAAGGATTTTGGTATTTGACTAGGGACTAAAACTCATGTAATCTAGGCTTTAAAAATATCTCTCTTGTAAATACCCCAAATTTATGGAATTGCTAAAATAGAACAAGGACGCGGCCTTTAAATGCAAATGAAAATTTCCATTTATAGTTTTACAGTCATGGCCATCTGGCAGATAAATTGGCATCATGCAAAAATTCAAGATGTGACTGATGAAGAGGATGATGTAAAAAGTGTTTTCAAGTGGTCAGCAGGCAGTGCCTTTTAATTACAAGAGCTGTACACAAGCATCATAGTGGCCTCAAGGCAGGAAATACTTAATCACTCTGATAAATATGCTTATTTGCTTAATCATTAAAGCAAATCATAAAGACTAAGGGGAATTTGCTAGCCCGGTCATCTTCAGAGCTCAACACTGCCTCTAGCAGCCGCTCTAATTAACCATAACTTGTAGTTTATATATACATTTTTACATTTGTGTATGGATGAAACAGAATAGATGAGCTAATGGCGTCAGACATTAGACTGATCTCAATAAAAACAATAAAAGTATACAACTTTCCCCAATATTGAACTCTAATGAGGGATGCACCACTGTAGGTGATCCTGCTCTCTGACCTGTTACTATGTGTGTTTTTTGTTTTATTAGATGTTCTGTGAAATTCCTTTTCTTTCTCTAATGAAAGTTTTATCTCCTCTGCTTAATTTCCAGCTGTGGAAAATCAAGTCTTAATGTGAAAACGGCAAACCACTAACAGTCGGACACTGGAGACCAGAATCTCCGTTTGTCTGCTGCAGAGAGACTCTCAACTACACACACACACACAAAAAAAAAGTGCAAATCTACTGACAGTTTAGTCATGGTCTGTGCCTTCAAACTGAAACTGTCTCTCGAGTTTCATCAGTCATTCACAAGCCTGAGAAGCTCTGACAATCGCTCACACACCATTACTGGCGCCTCAGCTGGTGTGGCAACACACAGTTTCCATCAGCCACGCCACTAACCCAGTGCCTAACCTTTGACCCTTGAATGTTCCTGAGTATGCGGTTAAATATAGCGGTGAGTTGAGATCATTTCAGGCTTCTTGTGTCTTGTACAGATGTGTGGACACAAAGTGAAAATGTAAATGAGTTAAATGCAGATGATAATGTAGATAGTTTGTTTAGTCGTATTAATACAATTAACTGTAAAACAAGCGTTGTGCTTTCTGAAGCCAGTAAATCAAACTCTATCAAAATTAAATGGGCAACCGGCTGCATTAAATTAATGTTCAGAGGACTCAACTTTCAAACTTTTGTACTATTTAAGGAGGAAACGTTGTGATTGTAAGTGGACTTTATTTATTTGGGGTTCTGTTTTAGTGCTTAAACTTGTAATGGTACCTGTAAGTGACGACTCTTTGACCACTATCTGCCTTTTGTATTGAGGACCATTGTTGAATAAATAAGAAAAAATATATTAAAAAAAGCTATGCAAAGTGAGTTATGCTTAAAGAAACTGCTCAATAGAGGTGAAATAAATGTTTTTCATCCCTTGGATTGTTGGCATCAGTTTCTGGGTTTGCATGCTGGCTCTCCTCCTCATCCTCTGCAGCTCCCGTATGTTTTGTCCTCAGGACTTACCGTGACAGTGGGCTGTGGGTTGACGTTGATCTATTATCAACGTTACGGTAGGGAAGGAAAAAAAAAAAAAAAAGATATGACGTAGAGGCACACCTCCAGCTTGGAAGGACACCAGCCGGCCGAGGAGGCACCTCAGCACCAAGGACAGGCCGACCAGACTGGCTCCTCCGGCCGCAGCGGCGGGCGCAGACTCTCGGTCCGGCAGATCGTGAAAAATCCCCGCGCTGACGGTGTGCGGGTGTCTCCGGGTGTCTCCGGGGCTGGCAGGACTGATCGTTTTGCCTATCGGCCAGGTATAAATAAATAAATAAAAAAAAAACAAATGATGCTGCTGTTCGGAACGTATGCATTATGTGTGAGGTGGATTACGTTATGAATGTTCATGTCTGATCTTGTGTTGCATGAACTGTGACCCCGGTCGGGAGGAGGAAATCACTGCTCGCTCATATGCGGCTCTGTAAATTACAGGTGCGTTTCAGCCAAGGCTGGTTTTTTTGGGGTTTGTTTTTCCTTTAAAACAGTGATGTGGCAGCGCAACCTTTTTGCTCCTCTGGTTGCATCCTTCTGACTGTTACCAGGGAGACATAAAGCCACATTCATAACATATTTAGAGAAGTTTTCTGTGCAAGATTCTGTTCTAGATACATGGGAGTAAAATATCACATGTGCCTGATCCCTCCGTTTCAGACCAGTTTGGACAATGCTTCTTGAAGAAAGCAGGGACGAGAGAGGAGGAGGGCTTGATTTTCCAACGATGGCTCAAGCACCAGATAGGACAATGTCTCTGCAAATGACTCAGGCAGAAGCTAAGAAAACAGACCTGAGAATGAACTGGGAGAAGAAATGCTGGTAAGTAAAAGTTCCCCCCCCCCCCACACACACAATTAGATTTGAACAATGTCCTCTGCATGGCTGCTTTAAGAGTCTACAGGTGCACTTGTAACATAAGACCTTGTATTGTTTGCCCTGGATTGGATTCACAGGTAAGACTCCTTTGTTTAGGCTCCAACCTGTAAGAGACAGAAATGAAAAAGTGAATCTCTGTAGACAAAAAGGGAAAAAAAGAAATGAGTGTGTGACTCCTGTGGTTTCCGCTGGTCTTCAGAAAATTGCATTTTCTCTCCCAGGACATTTTAATAATTTAATTTCCTCATATCCTACCTTTGATCCTGGGCCACAGATGATATTTGTGTCTAAAGAGACAATTATTTTTGTCCAGTACACACAGACGACCTACTTATTAGATTGTCTTAATCCTCAAGGAAAACTTTAGATGCAGTATTTTAACTGGTTGATGGTCATTTATGTTAAAACACAGCCTAACTTTCCAATACACAGTAAATGTGCATCTATTTTACTTTATTACCCTGCATTTAAAAGACCTTATTTAGTACGGTTTCTGTTCATGTGCTTGACAAATGTATATCTGTCTCTCCTGTGCAGCATGGGCTTCCTATATGACCAATTCTCCAACAATGATCGTAATGATCGGCCTGCCCGCAAGAGGAAAGACCTACATGTCAAAGAAACTCACACGTTACCTCAACTGGATTGGAGTCCCAACTAAAGGTAGTACGTGGTGTGTGGCAAAAATAGTTTATAGTGTAGTATATAAAAATAGTGTCTGTCAGTATCTCCACACTGCACAAATTCTCACTTTTAATCTCTTTATTTTTATTTTGCAGTGTTTAACTTAGGCGTGTACCGCAGAGAGGCTGTCAGAGCTTATAAGTCCTATGATTTCTTCCGCCACGACAATGAAGAGGCCATGAAAATAAGGAAGTAAGTTCCACTTTTACAAATGTGCTCTTCTTCACTCATTACATTCATATATGTAACTTTAAGCTGTAGCATCTCTCCTGTCCGAGAACAACATTTCCCCCAGTCTACATGGGTCTGTTTGGTATTCTGCAGCCTCCACTGCTGCATCAGTGACTAAGCTGTTTTTTTCCAGCTAACAGTCGATACTCGGCTGGGGTCAGCAGTGTTCATACTACCTTAAACTGGCACTGATCTATACTGAATGTGCACACAGACAGACACACCACATGACAAAGTATCACCATCAAATTCTCGTGGTTACTCGTTTGCGTTGAGATCGACAGTGTAAGTCACTGCTGATTCCTCCAAAAATATGAATAAAGAATATAAAGTGTCTCTTTCCCTCATGTTCGTATCCAGTGGTAGCAATTAAAAATTGGGTTTGTGGTTCATGGTTATCATGAAAATGTGACAGGCTGTTGACAGCCAGTGCTGAATTGTGACCTAGATATTAAACAAGCTGCTGCTGCTGTCACTCTGAAGCTCACACAAGCCCTTCAGGGTGTTGCATGGGTATCTAACCTGGGTCAAACAGCAGCTGTAAATAGTTATTTCTGCTATTGGACGAATAAGCCGGGTGGGGTTAAAGGAAATACAGCATTTTGCTTTCTTTCTGGCCTGATTGGTGGAGTTTACTGAACAAAACAGCTCTAGATTGTCTGAAATCTAAATTGTTTTGGGAAGTATGCTCACTTGCTCACCTGCCGAGAGTTCAATGAGAGGATTGATAACACTTTCAAGTCTGTCCTTTCAATATAAGGCTACCGCCAGCAACAATTTAGTGTTCTGTTCAGTAAATCCCACCCATCTGCCGCACAGATAGACCAGATCAACACAAAAAAATATTGCTTTTCTGCCAAAAAAGAGTAATGAAATCATGAAAACTGTGCTCAAGAATTCAGTAATGTCTGTCTGTCAAGCTTGTAACAAAGACATTGTTTCTGGAAAAATAAATGACTACTGAGCTTTTTCCAAATATACCCTTTAATAATTTTTACTGGGGTTGCAGCAGAAAGGTCTCACAACCTCGTCACATAAAGACAGAACTGTCTCTGTGGTTAGACACCACTAGGGGGAGTTATTTATTTATTTATTTATTTGAGAGATTTGAAATGTCTGTTCTTTTAATCCAGATACCATAGATATGTACATAATAATAAGACATTAATCTTTGTGTAGATCTACCAAGACAAGAGGGTTGGGACTAAAATAGAACATAAATAATAACCAAATATAAGACAAGCACCAAGAATCAATGTCTACACCTACAATAAAATACCTAATGATTTCTGACCTGTTATTAACAAATCACACACATCACACATGCAATGTACATTTCAGTGGTTGTGTGTTTCATTGAATAAGAGCATAGTGAAGCTCTTACAAAGGGCATGTTTTCTCTCTCTCCCACAGGCAGTGTGCTCTGGTAGCTCTGCAGGATGTGAAGGCGTACCTGGCGAAGGAGGGAGGTCAGATCGCAGTGAGTCTTCTCTCCGCCGTTCTGTCCATCGCTCTGTTCCCAAAAGCTTTAAAATATCCAGAACAGAAACACATCTGGCATCAGGACAACCTTAATCCTAAACTGCCCTACAAACATCTTACCATAGAACAGCCACATTATATTAATATTGTCTTTACTTTTCCTCCTTTGTGCTCGTTTTATTAGGTGTTTGATGCAACAAACACAACGAGAGAACGGCGAGACCTCATTCTAGCTTTTGTGAAGGAGAATGCATTCAAGGTAAGAACTGGGCTTTAAAGGAAATTGTACTTTGGTATTTAAACGTAAAACACACACTGTACACGGAGCAGTTTCCTGGACTTGAAGTGAGGTTGTATATGTAGGAGGGACATTATTCAGAACTACCATGCTTATACACATATAAAACCAAACTCATTCACGTACTATACTGAAAACTACACACAGGCTCATACACAGAATAACACACTCGGATAACACAACTGAAAAGCTCTCATGAAAACTGTTGAAAAGCTTTAATACATACTAATAAGTGTGCTCATATTCACACTTGAAATGCTCTCATACACCTTTTACATAAACTACTGAAAAGCTTTCACTCATGCTAATATAATGAATTACACATATATGCGTGGTATTTCTGAATAATGTCCCTGACCCTGGCCCCTCATATGTATCTGTGACTCATTCAGTTAAGCATCCTTTTAGTTTAGAAATACTCCTAAAGGTTGACCCTCGAAGTTTCCCTCTTTCCAACAGGTGTTCTTTGTGGAGTCGGTGTGTGACGATCCAGAGGTCATTGCTGCTAATATTCTGGTATGATCTTACATCACAGGCGTGACTTTAAGGTTTCACTGCGACTTCTGGTCTGGGTCAAACCCGTAATCTATTAATATTCACACTATCTACAGTGTTATGTAAGTATACTACATTGTTTGAATGTGCTGAATACCTGTGACAGGAGGTGAAAGTGTCCAGTCCAGACTACCCTGAGAGACACAGAGAGAGAGTAATGGATGACTTCCTCAAACGGATCGAGTGCTACAAGGTCACGTACCAGCCGTTAGACCCTGATGATTACGATAAGTAAGAACAGTTACCGTTGCACTTCAGAGTATTAACACTAATTAACAACCATTTGATTACATGATTTATTGGCACCCTGCAGGGACCTATCTTTTATCAAGGTGATGAACGTGGGCCGGCGTTTTCTGGTGAACCGGGTGCAGGACTACATCCAGAGTAAGATCGTCTACTACCTCATGAACATCCACGTGCACTGTCACTCCATCTACCTGTGTCGGCACGGAGAGAGCAACCACAACGTTCAAGGCCGCATCGGCGGAGACTCGGAACTCTCTCCTCGAGGGAAACAGGTGCCCAGGTTCTCCTTTCATAATCCACATTTTATGAACTGCAAAGCCAGTGTGAAAAACCCAATTAGAAGCCTCACACAGAAAGATATCTCAGAGGGATAAGGTGTACTCAACTACAATATTATGAACACCTGAGTTATGACCTTTGTCACATTTATTCCTGTCCATTTTTTTGTCTCCATCAACTGAACGGTAAATCTAGCGTAGCAGAAATACCATAAAAAATTCTCTCTGTCTCTCTCTCATCCTAGTTCTCCCATGCCCTGCGGGATTTCATTGAGGAGCACAAGCTGTCAGATTTGAAGGTCTGGACGAGCCAACTGAGAAGAACCATCCAGACAGCGGAGGAGCTCGGCGTTCCTTATGAACAGTGGAAGATACTCAACGAGATTGATGCCGTCAGTAACCCCGTCATCTAAGTTTCTAAGAATCATTACAGATTCATGGAGCTCTGTTTCAGACAGGCAGAAACTGTATTTTAGATGTTTTTCCGAGACACTTTAGATTAGCAGCGCAGAAGGCCCCAAGAAAACCAGTTTCAAAAGATACTGGTCACAGAAAAGAAAACATCCATCAGGCAATCAGAGAAGTTTTATTAAAAGCCTTTATTTAGTTGTGCATGTTACTGTAGTTAAAAGGCTGAACAGTTTGAACCTCATAGGTAGTTCATCAGGGTAGAAATATTAAAAACAGACCACACCTGCTTCTTTATATAGACAATATACAGTTTATAATATAGGCTATAATAAGATATGTGTAATAAATCTCTGCAGTGACTGCATTCTTCTTTCAAGGATACTGCTGCTGTTATAGTCTCTATGTGGACTATATTTAAATCCTGCGGTCATGGTTTCTTGGCAGAAAAAAGGTTTAAATTTAGTGGAACTTATTTCTCTTTTGCTCGTGCCTTCGACATTAAGACAAATGCTCCGATGTACTTGTCCAGGGTGTGTGTGAGGAGATGACTTACGAGTTGATCCAGAAGACATTCCCAGAGGAGTTTGCTTTGAGGGACCAGGACAAGTACCACTATCGCTACCCAGGAGGAGAGGTGACCATCCCGCAGTTTTACTTTAGTTTCATCGTTCGTCATAGTAGGCCTTTTTTGACAGAAGACATTTTGACATGTGACAGTAGGAAAAGCACAGGAGTAAGTAATAAAATGAATGTTTGGATTCATGGTCCTGGTCAGTGGTGGATTAAAAAAAAACAAAACTTTATGTGACTCAGAAGTATAACAAATACACCTCTGTCATTAAAACACACAGTTTTAACTATTCAACCATTTAGAAGCAACATCATTTCTAGCATGCTGTGCAGCCTGTATGGCACTGCGTCACGTTTTCTCCATTTTAAGGCCATCCATTAGTGCACTTTATCATGTTTTCTCCACTGGAAAGACACCCAAGAGGGCACTTTGGTGCCAATACCACAGTTCCCGGTATTGTGCATGCTGGCTCACTGTCACAGCTTTTACTGGAATACTTGAACAGAACAGAGTCATTGAGCCATTGATGATGTTATTAGTAACACCTGTGCTTTTCCTACTCACAGTCACAGTCAAACTGTCGGCAATACTCCCACTGTTTCTTCACTATTCATTCACTCACCCATTGTTATTGGACGTGTCTGAAAGTGTATAGATTACTTTAAAGCTGTTTAAACACGGCCTTCTGCAGTGAGGTTAAAATAATCTCTTCTCTCCTTCTCTCTAGTCCTACCAAGACCTTGTTCAACGTTTGGAGCCAGTTATCATGGAGTTAGAGAGGCAGGGCAACGTGTTGGTCATCTGCCACCAGGCTGTGATGCGCTGTTTGCTCGCTTACTTCCTGGACAAGAGTGCAGGTCAGATGAACACATGAAGTGCGCACACATACACACACACACACACACGCATACTAGATCACACCAGAAGATGTTAAGATTGTGTATACTCTCTTCTTCATCACACAGACGATCTACCGTACATGAAATGTCCGCTCCACACAGTGCTCAAGCTAACCCCGGTTGCATACGGTAGGTCTTTACTTGAGACGAAGCTCTCTCAACCATAAGTTTTTCTCATTACATGCAGGTTTTTATATAAATGCATTCTATCTTTTATCTTCTAGGTTGTAAAGTGGAAATGTTTTATCTTAATGTGGAGGCAGTAAACACACATCGAGACCGGCCTCTTGTAAGTCGCTCTGAATAAAGCTGAAAACAATCACATTGTTGTATTAAAGACTCAAATGTGATCGTATATGAATATTTGTTTATTGTTTACTGACGCAGTAATAATTCAAAACTTCTCAGCAAATCCAAAACATCTAATTCAAAGACTAATAGGCTCTTTGTCTTGTTTGTTGTGTCTGCTAGTTGAATGCAATCACACTTCAACCCCTGTGTGTGAGGCTTTGCTTCCCTGACTCCCCTCCTCTTATATGTGTGTGTTTTCTTTTGCTCCCTTTTATCTTTAATCGGTAATGACTCAGTCTGGCTTGAGCTGTGAGCTAATGAACGTTAAGTCAGTTCATTTGGTATTATTTTACCTCGATGGAGGCAATGGCTGATCATGCTACCTTGCTTGGCTGATCTAATCACTACCTTTGCTCTGGTTGCATCCTGATACTAAGATTATGTATCTACTCTATGAAAGACTTGTGATTTGAGCTGTTAGTCCCATTTTTAAATGTTTTCCTTCTACAAGGTTTTCTATCTTGATTGAAGCAGTTGTTTCGAAAGCCTGTTGTGTGTCAGGGGTGTGCAGCTACCGATCATTAATGTTTTGTGTTGTGTGGTGGTTGAAACCGTTTCTGTCACTAAAAAACGGCTTCAGTTGTCTCACCTGTTGCTGTGGATCCATGTGGAGAGGACGGCTAGTTTGCTTGGCTGTGTCTGGGTCAGGTGTCCCCCCGGGTGTTGTTCTGTTCCCTGATCCTTTTTTTCTTAACACTTGCGGTATTTCATCTCCTACCAGGGTAAAAGCCCGAGGGACTCTGCTCTCATACATCGGCGGAATAGTTACACTCCCTTGTCCAGTCACGACCAGGTCAAGCGTCCCAGGCTCTACAGCGCAGGCAACCAGCCCTGGCTACCGCTCGCCCCCACCCCATCAGCTCTGATGCCAGAGGGACGGCAAAGCCAAGTTAGTGCCAGAGTAACAGGCTCCCCCTCTAAATCAGTCACCGTCAACTGTAATCAGTCACCTCCCACCACAGTTGTAACCCTGTGTTTGGCATTCCCCCGCCTCAGTTTTGGATCCTCTCGATGATTTACTGTCTGTGTTGAAAAATGACGTACATATGGAATCCATCTCTATCTATCTTTTCTCTCTCAGGGCATGTTTAGGATCTTGGATGGGTTGCTCTCTCTTCTTTTAACGTTGTGCCTGTCTGTTTCCAAAGTCTTGCATGACCTCTGCTTCACCAGTGGGCTGTCTCCGGCTTGAATATGCAGAACAGCATGCATACTTTTTTGCTCAGGAAAGCTCCTTAGACTTAATAAGATACAAAAGACACACAAACATCAAAGACATCTTGTACTGTATTTCGTTAGAAGTGATAATTGTTAGCTTTATTTAGCCTTCATAAATCTTCAACGATGATTCAAATTTTTAAAACTGAGTCCCATTTGAGAAAAGTCGAGGGCAATTTGAGAAAATGAACATAATACATACGGTAAATTACACATTCAGAGCTTAAAGATGCATATTCATATTTGTACGTCTTGTGTATTTGTTGGCCTTGCATTGTGGGTACAGTGCTTCAGCCCTTCTCCACATTTCTATGTATCTCTCTCTTTCTCCACTTTCTTCAACTCTGTCTTACAGCCTCGGATAGGAAGCGGTTGTCTGTGAGTATTTTGGAGACTCCGTACATGTTACCAGCCCTTCATTTTCTTTCCCATAATTCAACTCATGTCACTGTTAACCCATGTCAATATGTTGTCACAGTGGTGTATAGTTTTATGGTTTCTCTAACCTTCCATCACCTTTGCACTTTAGTTAGAACAAACGCTGCTGATGATTTTGTTTCATCTCAGCGGCCTTATCAAGAACACTATCAGACTCTGATTCTTTGGTTGTTTGATAAACGGCTGCAGTCACGAGGGCGACTTCAATTAAACTCTTTGATGACAGTATTTGTTGATATTTCAAAATTTTGGAAATAATTCAGCTAATATGAGTGTATAAGAGTATAGATTTCCTTGTTAGTCCATAAAGTGAAGTGTACTAGATTATAATTTGAAGCCAATCATACATGGGGTCAAATGTGATTAATAATTAATAACACTTCTGGATAAAGTGCTAAAGAAGAGTCTCCACTAATGTGGCTGTTTTACCAAACTTTTACATTGTGACCTAATTTTTCAAATGGGAACTTAAGACTCCTGGCCCCCCTTCCCTCCCCCCTCTGGGGAGCTATTAGTTTCCTCGAATAGGATTTGCTGCTGTGAGGCATTAATTTGCGAAAGTCAGTGACATTTTCTCTTTCTTGAAGGAGTCCCTGTGCGAAGGAATCGACTTTGACAGCCCCGAAGAAACTAGTGGCTGTGTCCGCTTCTGAGTGAAGACGAAGGCGTCTTTCTTCATGGTACAATGTGGACAAAAGGTTCTGGGTTCAGTCATGTAACACAAGATAGAAAGAAATGTTTTTTGGATTCAGATTTTACTTTTAAAAACACTTTCTGGATGGAACAACATTCACATGAGGTCGAAGAACAGTTTCTTTCTATCTCAATTCTGTTTAACTTTACTCTGCATGTTGAGGCTTTTAATTGGAAGCCTTTTCATTAGGATCATAAACACTTTCTGCATGTGCGCCCAAATCAATCAGTAAACAATAAGAAGATCAGAACTGGCAACTAATCCTCTTTGTAAATACTACCATGCCTTACTATGTACTGATAGAATTAGCTCCTGTGTATGCGACTGAATGTAATGAAAACAACTTATGCAGCATTATGTTGAAAAGCAGTTTTTAACTAATGCAAATAAATAAATAGATATAAAATAGATGCTGTAAAAAATATTTTTATAGTACGAATCCACTCATCTACCATACAAACGAGCTGTAGTTGTGATTCTTATGTGTTATGTTATTGATTTAGATTCCAGAGAACGTGTGACTGAAGGAAATTAAAATACTGTACTTAGTTTTCTGTATGTTTTATGTGTTGTTAGAAAAATACACCACATTGCTGGACACACTGTATACCAGCAGTAGATAAAGAAACATAGCCAACTTTTCTGCTACGAGCTGCCATTCACATAGCAACTGTATTAATCTGGTGTTATCTGTCACAACGAACACGAAATCCTAAATATTCATCTGTTAATCCATTCTTCTTGGAAGGGATTTTGTACAACCATCACATGTTGATGGTATGGAAGCTATTTTCTGACATTTGTGTTTGTGATATCATCGACTACTGGTCCAACATTTGTTTTTGCTTCATGCTAATGTATCTTTCCTTCTTGAATTCCTATCAAATAAGCCATTTTTGACTCACAGATTTTATTTAATAACAGACAGTGGTACAGGTTTATTTCTATGACTGTAATGTGTGACTGTTGATAGCTTATTGCCCTGCTCAAAGCAGCCTACTTGTGCCTTCTTAGCAGACAATAAAAAGTGAATTTTGAGGTGAATATTCCATAGAAATGTAGGAGATACACGTGGATCTCTGCAGCACATGGCTTCTTCCAAATGGAGTGATCCAAGTCTGTTACAAGTTATTTTATTACTTGTGATCATTTAATTGTTCCTTGTTTCATGCAAAATTGTCTGAAAATTATTAAAGAACTGAATGAATAAGAGATTCTGCTTTGCTTGATACATATTAAAGCCTCAGTTATTGGAAGAGAAATGAAAGGCATTACAGTTTATGATAAGGGGGTTGGAGTACTGGCGGTTTGGGGGCGTTTTTCTTTAAACTTCTAGGGCTTATGGGAAATGTTCTTCGTTAAATGTAGCTACAAAATCATAAATTGTATTACAATCATTAAACAATGTTAAATAAACAACAAGACTAGTACATATGAAGGGAACTACATGACATACTGCTCTGTTCCACAACTGGAACAACAACAACAAATTCAAGAAGCTTTATTTATCCCG